GAGATTCAATATATTATGGAGAGAAAAGAGCATTTTCTTAAGATACATTTACTTGCCATTCATTCACGGACTTAAAGCTGGCTGCACGCATTTTTGGATTCAAGGTGTGCTCAGAAAACTTCTCCCCACAAACCATCTCTCCTCCCCATCTGTCATACAGCCCTCTTCATCAGGAGTATTCTTTAAAAGTAGATGCCTATGGGAACGTTCACGCCAAAAGAAGCTGATCTCTTAGTGATCTCTCGGTCCTCTCCAGGTCTAATGCCCCTGGTCCCTGTGCCATTCAGTTGGTACTTTTATCAGCTACTTCNAATGTCTAGATAATAAATTTCTGTTGTTTTAAGCCACCAAGTTTGTGATAATTTGTTGCAGCAGCAGTAGAAAACTAACACAGGAAGATGTGGAACACAACCTCAGGGTCCTCTTTCCTTCAGGTGTAGAAGCAGGAGAGGAACGTTGCAGGAATGGGGGATGCAACATCCCTCAGAGCGCTCCTGTTATACCTTAACACAACTAAAGAAGGGCTAGGTTATGATTGCCAGGGCTCTGGACTGGCACAGGATGCTAAACTTCTGCTAGTGGATCCAAGGNAGCAGGTAACACTCACTATAAGCCAGTCCAGCAGAGAAAAAGAACTGAGCCAGGCAGCCAGCAAAGGAGATGCTTTTGTCATCTGAGATACAGGTCATCAGGATTTTGGGGGTATAGCCAGAAGAATACCAGAGATCCAGAAATGCCAGGTTTGCAATGAAGAAATACATAGGAGTGTGAAGTCGAGAATCAGCACAAATTAGGGAAACCAGGGTGATGTTCCCTAAGAGACTGAAGACATAAATGAGGAGGAAAATGAAAAAGATCCCTCGCTGTAACCTCAAGTCTGCTGTGAACCCCAAAAAGATGAACTCCTTCACTTTGGTGAAATTTTTCTCGTCCATTGATTTCAAGTTTCTATGATCTTGTTCTGTGAAAAGATTAATACACATGTCATGACTTAAGATATCACTATGTGTTTTCTCTATCATTTGTCATTCTAGATAATTGAAAAATCTAACTT